CCCTGCAGGGCTCCAAATCTCTGTGCAAAGATGGAGACATTGGAGGGGAATTCTGGCCCCTGGAGTCCCCTCTCTAAAGTCAGACCCATCTCTCCAGTCCATCCTCAACCCAGGCCTATCTCAGGGACCCCAGATATGCTTTCACTGCCCATTGGTGACCAAAATAATTGGCCCTGAACTAAGTCTGTGTGAGAACTGAATGCTGGTGTCTAATGTCATGGATGAGCCTCTGGGCCTTTATGCCTACTGTTTTCTCTGCTTGGAAGCAGAGCTCAGGAGCTTTTCCTAGAGCTCAGGAGCCACTTCCACTGGGAAGCCTTCCTTGCAGCCACCTATTCCACCCTAGTCTTCCTTCAACTTGTGAACTTTGGATCATACCTGGTTTGGACTAGTCTGAAGTTGTCTCCATCTCCTGAAGATGATTGCTCCATGAGAGGCTGGGCCCAGTCAGGTCTGGACACAATAAATGTCAGTAATGTCCACTGAGCTTAGGCACTATCCTGTTGTACCACAGTCTTCTAGAGAAAGTCTGCCCTGAGCAAGAGGGTCTAGCCTCAATTCACTCCCCTACATACACATTGCCCTCTCCCCTTCCAGGGAGGCACCCAGTTGCCAAGAACAGCCCTTCCTCGACACCATGCTCCCCAGCAGGGAGAAGCTGGGCTAGGCTGTCCTTACTCATCCTCCTGGCCTCACCCTGGCCCTGCCTGGGAGTGCCAGGACCCACAGCAGGTGCCTGGACAGGCTTGGGGCTAGAGAGAGGGCTTGGCACAGTGGACTAATCTCTGACCAAGAGCAAGACTCAGAGAGAGACAACTTGCAGCATCCTCCTCTTCCTCCTCCCCACCCACTCAGTTTTGTTAATAATAACAGCTACTATTTCCTGGGTCCTCTTGTCTGCTTTTGCACAGTGTTCATCTGTCATCCTGAATCAACCTTGAAAGGTGGGTATTTTCCTCTCCATCTTCCTGATGGGGTGGTAGACATTCAGAGAGGCTGTCTGCCTTGTCCAGGGTCATCCAGCTGGTCAGTGGCAAAGCCAGGATTCACACCACAGATCTTTCCATGCCTGTGTCCTCCAATGCTAACCCCAGGTGCTATTCTCTCCTGGGTAGTGACTCTGTTACACATCTGTGTCCCACTTAGAGGGGGAGCTATGGGGTAGCAAGGATGAGCCTGTTCTCTCAATTGTCCCAGCAAAGGCATCAAGGAATGCTTGTAGGATGCTAAATGATAACACATGGGCTGTTAGATAGCATAGCACAGTGGTTACATGAATGGGCTTAGAAGCCCAAGTGTTGAGATTCTAGCTCTATAACCTTGAGACTAATCTTTCCACCTCAGTTTCCCCATCTAAAGTGGGCATGATAATATGGTGTTCAGGAGATTGAGTGAACTTGGGAAACGTTGGGATTCTTATTGTCTCCCAGCAGACTAGCACGGGACCTGTCACACCCTCTGCTACATCCCCAGCACTCAGCACAGGGCATACATAGTGGCACCAGTAGGGGCTGTTGGTAGGGGGATGGGGGGAGTGTAGGTTTGGATTCTCCTGAAACCCCACCTTTGGGTCCAGAGGCAGAGACTTTGCTCAGCATCATCCTTCAAGCCTGGTACAGAGGATACATGGAGCCTCTCTCAAACTGTGTACCTCTACCATGTGAAGAAATGCCCACATCAAGTGGTACCCTGGAAGTAAGATCCTCCTTCTCACCTCTTCCTGGTCCTCCTCCCAAGGGACTAGCAGTTTAGGGCTTTGGGAGCAATCAGGTGGACAGGGAGGCACCCAGGAGATCATCCCAAGCAAACCCTAAAACGTTTATCTGAACGATCTTGTCTTTAGATAAATTCTTAGGTAAAATCCTTATACATAAAGTTGATAGAAGGGCCATTTTGTTATTATAAATCCATTTATAGGTTCATATGTATCACTCTTATAAAGTACACTGCTATTTTCAACCAGCTACAACAGAGCTGGTACCTAGTAGGCACTCGATAAATAACTGTTGAATGAATGGACAGTCAATCAGTGGGTGGGGGGAATGAGGCAGGTAGTTTTGATTAATATAAATATCAGAAATGGGCTCATGTATGACAATTGAAGAATCCTACTAGCCTGAAATTCTGAGCCTACATAGAATTGAGTCTAAATAGAACAAGTATGAACATGCCTGGTCCTCACAAGTTTCCTCTATGAGGACACTAAGACCAAATGGCCAGTGGCAGAGGTGGGTTATAACCCAAGTCTTCTGATTGCCCATCCCAGGGATCAGGCTTTCCTTGGCCCCTCCACAGGATGTATTCTTGAGCAATGGGATGGAGTCTTTCCCTGTCTGGGACAACCATGTGCCAGTGACCTACCACCCTTCTGCAAGCATTTACCACCAGCCTCTGCCCCAAGCCTGAGCCAGGCAGGAGCCAGGCCCTTCCCTCTGACTCTGGGATGGGCTTGGTGCCTAAATATGTGTCATCCTTGGATGAAAGTCCCATTACCCAAAACCCCTGTGGAACAACAGAGCCCCAAGAGATAAACATTGTCCAGTGATTGGCAGATTAGTAGAAGTTGGTAGGTGGATAAGGAGCTGGGAGTAGGGGGTGAGTATGGCCACTGAGAGCCTACTCAGGGGGAACACCCAGGAGTGCCCCAGAGCATGGGCCCCACAGCAGTTGGGGACATTTATGGACCTTCCTATAAACTTCTGAGAGGGTAACTTTATCCTGCTTCTTTCGGCCAAGTATCCTCCTCCAGCAGCTGGTCACAAAGCTGCTTAATCTCCCAGAGTGCTCAGCCTAAAACCCGTGACTCAGAGCTCCGCCAGTGTGGGGGAGGGGGCAGCCACCTCCAAAACGTGGCGCCCAGAGTCAGCTGTTCCGGGGGACTTCTCAGGTTTCTCCGACTCAGGCCTGAGGTTTAGTACCATCTTCCTTCCTGGTGTATTGCTCCTCACTGACCCCTAGATATCAGTCATAAGAGGTCAGGGCCCTGAGAGAAGGGCCAGTTCCAGGTCCTTGGCTTTAGCCAAGCCCTCAAGCTATCCCCAGGAACAACCAGCAGGTATTGGCTTTCAAGGCAAGGATGCAATTTCAATGTAACTTTGGAAGAGGGTGCAGTTAGACTTGAAATTGGGGTCCCTGCCTTACCTGTACAGACTTGGAAAATTTTCCTTCACCCATGACCTTCTCACTATAGGTCTTGTGTGACATGAAAATGGCTGATGTGAACTAGCAAACATTAACACACATGTCAAGTGGCCTCCAACTTGAGATCAACAAAATAAACACAAAACCTTTAAGGGAGAAGAGATGAGGTAAAGTATTGGCCTTGGAGATGGAGAGACTTGGGTTCAAGTTAGCCACTTGCTACCTGAGCCTCAGGTTCTTCATCTGTAAAACGGGTCTAGTAATAGTACTTACCTTGGTCAGTTAATGAGAGAATCAGATAAGATTCTGTTTTGCCTACTTAGTAAGTAGGAGCTATTAATATTACTATTGTTATTATCATCGCTATTGCTCAAAAGACAGGAGAATGCATTTTTTTCAATCATTTTCACATTTACTCACATGTGTATACATGTTTGGGCCACCTCTTCACTCCCCATACCCCCCTCCCCACTTCTGAGCAGAACCTCTTCCATCCTCTTGTTCTTTGATTTTGTTGAAGAGAAAACATAAGAGGTAATAAGAAAGACAGCATTTTTGCTAGTTTGAGATAAAGATAGCTATACAGAGAGATTCCTAGCATGGCTTCCATGCACATGTGTATTACAACCCACATTGGCTCATCTTTACCAGACCTCTTCATTACTTCCTGATCCCCTTCCCATAGTGGCCTCTGCTAATTTAAGATTACTATATTCAGTCCTCTACAGTGAGCATATCAACCACATTCAAGTTTTAGGTTTCCTTCCTTTCCCTATCCCTCTGTGTATGTTCTCCCCTTAGCGTGTGACCCATGTCCAATAATATTACTGCATTTGTTTTAGGTCTAAAGTCCACATATGAGAGAGAACATGTGATTTTTGGCCTTCTGAGCCTGGCTAACTTTGCTCAAGATGATGTTCTCCAGTTCCATCCACTTACTTGTGACTGACAAAATTGTCAGGGATTTGTCTGTAAAGTAGGAGGGAAGCTATCAACTTGATGTCAATGACTCCTCTCATTTGGTAGGAAATCTGTAGGGAATATCTCTCACCTCTTGGAATTGTGCTTGTAATGGCTAAAAACCAAACCCAAACGGAATTGGAGGACATCATGTTAAGTAAGCCAGGTTCAGACAAAGGCGACATGTTTTCGCTCATATGTGGAAGATAGAGCCAAAAGATAAACATATACAGTAAAACAAACATGATGATATACACATTCATATATAGAACATGTTTGTAACAGTGGAACTACTGTATGGAACTTGGGTGAGGAGGAAAAGGAAAAGAGAATGATAGCCAACGATATCCAAATACATTGCGCCTGTGGTGATAGAGGACAATATGTACTGAAAGCTGTTGAATAATGGGTGGAAGGGAAGAGATAAGGGAGAGTAATAGAGGAAGTTGAACTGGCCAAAGTACAGTATATTCACAGCTGGGATACATCGAGAAATCCCTTTGAACACTGACTTTGGTGTTAGAAATGAAAGACAAGACTGTAAAATAGCTACTGTGGGGGGTGGGGTAGGGTACTTGTGAGAAGGGGGAGGGTGAATGGAAGGGATAGGTGAAGGAATTTGGTTGATGGGCTTAGTATACATATAGTGAAATAGAGTAATGAAACCTCTTGCAATTGTTTTAAGTGGAACTGGGAGGGGTTGAGAGGAGGAGGTGGTGGAGGTGATCTAACCAATATACAATGTAAGGCTATTGGGAATTGGCACAATGAATCTCCCCTGTACAATGAATATAGGCTAATAAAAATGAAAAAAAAACCCACAAGAAATAGCTGTAGCAAATTTGTGATGGAAGGTCCCACTTAGTAGCTCTACTGAGCAAAGCTTCAGTCATGCTTACCTTGCTACTGTGGTTCCAGGGATTCTCAGTTTTCTTCACTATCTGAAAAGACCCATATACATCTGAAGAGTCCTGTGGGGGGAGAGAGAGGAACCAGCCACTTTATAAATTCCTGTTATGATTGAAGCAGTATGTTAAACTCATGTATTTGGCCACATCTAACCCTTGGGGTAGGTGTACTGTTACTCCCATGTAGTTCCCTAGTTACATTAATGGACCCAGGCCTTCATTCCTCCTCTTGTCATGTGACTTTGCAGCTCTTAACATCAAGAGGCATATAATATATTTCTCCAAGTTTTCATTCTGAGCTCAGTGATATAACTCATTATGACACATGGGATATCACCATTCGTGACTCAAGAAGAAGTTTGAAAAAAGTGCTTGTGTATTTCTGCTTGCCCTTTTTATCACTGCCATTGATACTGTATTGCTGATCCCAAGTTCGTATCCAGGCAAAGACCATGACTGAAGACGCTGGACCAGGAGTTAAGAGAAAAGCAACTGCAAAGTTTATTGAAAGGACAGCAAAAGCTCCCAGCACAGCAGGGGCTTAGGGAAAGCTAAGCCTCAGTATAACTGGAGTCTAGGAGTGATATAGGGCTCTGCTCAGCTTAGGTCCACCTAGTCTACCCTGAAACTACGTTTGTGATTGGACGTCATCTAGTTGACTTCTCGCTGAACTTGACCACCTGGTCGTCCCTATCCTTATTGAACTGGCCATTCCAGGAGGGTCTGGTCAGCTCGTCCTGGCCTTGAGACCCACCATTATACTTCATAGCTACCTTTTGTTATCTTGGTGAGAGGTTTGCTGTTTTACTTTTTTTAAGGAGCCTGGTCCTCATATCTCCTTAGATGTTTACTTTTAAAGATGCTTTCCATCTCCTTATTTAAGATAAAGTCACTTCTTTTATTTGCTCCCTTCATGTCTTCACATTAAATATGCCCAGGCCAACATGCTGTAGGCTGAGAGCCCTTAGAGAAGAGCTGGGATGCCCCAATTGCTTCAGCCAAGACCGCAAATGCTATTGTTTAAAGTCATTGAGTTTGAGATGGTTCATTACATAGCAGTATCATGGTAGTATAACAGATACATGCCACCTCTTAAAAATAGACTTTGTTTTTTAGAGCAGCTTTAGGTTCAGAGCTATTTGTGCAGAAAATCCAGGGAGTTCCTGTATATCCCTGCTCTCACACATTCTCAGCCTCCCCCATTTACCGGCATCCTGTACCAGACTGGTACATTTATAATTATTGATTAAATCTACACTTGACATGTCATTATTGCTCAAAGTGCACAGTTTATATTAGGGTTCATTCTTGGGTTGTCAATCCTATGGATTTTTAAAAATAGATAATGGTGTGTTTCTACCATTATAATATACTGAAGAGTTCACTGCCCTAAAAATCTGTATTCCATCTCTTCATCCCTTCTTCTCCCCTGAATCCTAGCAACCACTAATTTCTTTTTTTTTCCTTTACTTGTTTTTATTGTTTATTATTCATATGTGCATACAATGCTTGGGTCATTTCTCCCCCCTGCCCCCACCCCCTCCCTTACCACCCACTCCATCCCCTCCCTCTCTCCCCCACCCCCTCAACAGCCAGCAGAAACTATTTTGCCCTTATTTCTAATTTTGTTGAAGAGAGAGTATAAGCCATAATAGGAAGGAACAAGTGTTTTTGCTGGTTGAGATAAGGATAGCTATACAGGGAGTTGACTCACATTAATTTCCTGTGCGTGTGTGTTACCTTCTAGGTTAATTCTTTTTGATCTAACCTTTTCTCTAGTTCCTGGTCCCCTTCTCCTATTGGCCTCAGTAGCTTTTAAGGTATCTGCTTTAGTTTCTCTACGTTAAGGGCAACAAATGCTAGCTAATTTTTTAGGTGTCTTACCTATCCTCACCCCTCCCTTGTGTGCTCTTGCTTTTATCATGTGCTCAAAGTCCAATCCCCTTGTTGTGTTTGCCCTTGATCTAATGTCCACATATGAGGGAGAACATACGATTTTTGGTCTTTTGGGCCAGGCTAACCTCACTCAGAATCATGTTCTCCAATTCCATCCATTTACCAGCGAATGATAACATTTCATTCTTCTTCATGGCTGCATAAAATTCCATTGTGTATAAATACCACATTTTCTTAATCCATTCGTCAGTGGTGGGGCATCTTGGCTGTTTCCATAACTTGGCTATTGTGAATAGTGCCGCAGTAAACATGTGTGTGCAGGTGCCTCTGGAGTAACCTGTGTCACAGTCTTTTGGGTATATCCCCAAGAACCACTAATTTCTTAGTTTTACCTTTTCCAGAATGTTGTTATCATTGGAATTACACACTATGTAGCCTTGCCAGGTAGGCATCTTTCACTTTGTCATATGCATTTAAATTTCCTCTGTGTCTTTTTGTAGCTTAATAGTTCATTTATTTCTAATGCCAAATAGCAGTCCATTGCCTGATGTATCACAGTTTATTTATTCATTTACCTACTGATAGACATCTTGGTTTCTTCCAACTCTTGACATGCTGTTTTTAGATAAATCTGAAGTGCAAAGTAGTTAAGTAGTTTGTCAAAAAACACACATAAGTGTCAGGTCTGTGATTCAAACAGGTGGGTCTTATTTCATAAATCATGAACTTTCTTCTTCTGTTGGAATGTCCCTAAAAAAATTACGCCCTTTTAGATCTCCCTGCTTTTGTCTAATCTGGCCCTTCATCTTAGACTGCTCTTCCTCCTCTGTCCATCTATGATTAACTTAAAGTCTATTCTATGGGCTATTCCCCTCTTCCCTCCTATCCACCCCAGCAAAGATATTTATTGTTCCTTTCTCTGTGTCTCCACTTTGAATGGCTCATGTTGAGAATGCTATGAAACTGCTTACTGAGGCACATTTCAATATGAAATCCCAACTTAAGATGCAAACATTTCTAACTAGATGGTTGAGAACCAATTACCTTAAGGTATTGAGGCCTTAAGAGAAGATTTGCATTTATTGAGAGCCATTGGGGCTATGAAGTCTGTACTACACAGGTGGAGTCCAGTGTGTTCCCCCTTCCCCACACATCAATAGAGAGGGTCTTTAAGGTGACTAAACATGAGACAGATCAGAGGAACCCAACTCTTCCTAAGGGTATTTGATTAGAGGTTAAGTTCTGATAAGTACTTTGAGGATATTGATTCCATGATAGGTCCTTATTGTAAGCATTCTTTAGTGAGCTTTTGTTTTGTTTTGTATGTAAATGAACAAAACTGTTGGGAGCAGGTCATTTAGCCCCTTAAATGACAGTTGACAGACCCTTCCCTTATACCTGACTGCCTTGAGTGGGGAGCTGTCAGCCAAGCAGCCTCTGCTTTGGCAACTGGCTAGAATGTCCTGAAGGCAGTTTTAAACACTCCATGATCACTCTAAGGAAACTCCATTCCAGCTACAAGGACCACTGCAACCATAGCTACTACTGAAGTCACACTTCTGCTTCAGGAGGCCTTGCTTCAGTCATGACTACTCCAGACAATTTGCACCAGCTTTGGAAGACTCTACTCCAGGCAGCACAAGCCTTTGTGAGTAATAGATAAACCTGCTCACCCTGTGAATAGTCTCAGGACAGAACAGGGAGCGCTTCCTCAATGATTCAGCAAAAAGTCTGTGATTGGTGCAATTTGAGGCTTATGATTTACTCATAAATGAGGCTTGTGATTGGTGCATATTTAAGGCTTGTGATTGGTGAAACTGGAAGCCATGCACATGCAAGGCAGTGAGTGGTGGGTGTGCCATACCCTTTTCTAGCTATATAAGCAGGTTATTTCTCAGTCTTGTCCAGTTAGTCCAGGAGGCATCTCCTGTGTACTCCCTTCCAGTATTATAATATTAGGCCCAATAAAGGCTTCCCCTGAATGATCTTTTTTTTGCCTTCTTGTAATATTTATCATGGGTACACAGGGCTGAGTAGACCAAACCCTGGCTTCCAGCCCCAGGACCCCAGTAGCAGCAGTAAGAGGGTGACGGGGGACTGACTCCCAAGGCTATAAGACCCCAGGACTCCCAGGGCTGAAGGCCCTGGGTTTATTCAGAAGCTAGGAAGTATCCCAAGTGTTCCAGAGAGGGCTTGCAGCAGAGACTGAGGAGAATGTGGAGGACTATGGAAGTACTAAGAAGGCAAGGGATGGTGAAGAGCTAAGACTATGGAAGGCAAAAGGCTTCCAGGAGCTGAGACAGTGAGCCCTATTTGGTGGGAAAACTCCTGACAGCTGCAGTTAAAAGCTAGGGATCCCAACACCCAGACCTCAGTGGCTGCAACATTAGCTGCCAGATCCCAGGATGCTTCCTTCGAAGGCCCAAAGCTTGACCTAAGCACTTACAGCAATAAGTCTCTAACTTTGAAAGCTAGGAGCCATAAGTCTCTCATTCTCAGGGTGTAGAGTTATAAACCTCTGAAGTTTGAAAGCCTGGCCTATAAGCCTCTGGCACTCAGCAGCACTCAGCTGAGGGAGCTGCTCTTTGCCCATTCATTATTTCCATCCACATAGAGCCATAAGACCCCCAGCCAGTCATCTGTGGCAAGTGGGGCTCTTAACATATCTTCCCCAAAGTTGTTAGACATGGTGAGCTGACATCTGAGTCATGCATACAAAATCTAAAGAGTGAGAGATAGATAAAATGACCAGGGGTTGCAGAATTGAAGGTGGCATTCCTAAATATGACCAGGCAAGGATTCAAGAGTGGACCATATGTGGGCCACATGTAAGGAAGAATCAACATGGTTCTTAGCTCTTGTCCTCCAGGCTCCCTGGAACACAATAGCACCTCTGCAGAAGAAAACTGATGGTAGATCTTTAAAATCATGTAATCACAAGGGATCAACAGAACAGAGGTACAAGTGAGAGATTCCCAGTATCCATGGCAAAAGGGATCACCAAGAATCTATGGAACCAACCCAACCCAACCAACTAAGCTGGAGGGTACTGAAGTCATTTCTGAGTTTTGATCATCACAGAAGACTAGGCATTGAAGTTTCTGAATTGAGACTCTATTTGCATTAGTTTTCTATTACTGCATAACAAAACTACTATAAGCACAGAGCCTAAAATCGCATCCATTTGATAGCCTACAGCTCTACAGGTCAGTGGTCTGGAATGGCATGGCTGGGTTATCTGCTGAGGGCATCAAGAGGCTGAAGTCAAGGTATTGCCTGGGCTGAGCTCTCATCTGGAAGCTCTAGAGAAAAGGTTGTTGGCAGAATCCAATTCCTTATGGCATGATGGCTAAGGAAGTCATGTTGGCTATTGGTTGGGGCCATGCACAGCAGCCAAAGGCCTCTCTCAAGTCCTTTCTGTATGGCCACTTCCATCTTCATCAATGGCATGTTTAACCTCTCATGCTGTGATCCCTGATTTCCTCTTTTTCAAGGGTTCGTGTGATTAGGCCTGGACCCCCCACATAAACTCCCAAACTTAAGGCTAATTGTGCCATGTAACATAACCTATTCATGGAGTAAAAGCATCAGATTCACAGTTCTGGGATTATTAAGGACATGTGGATGGTGAGGATGGGAAAGAGGAAGAACATCTTGGGGAACATCTTAGATCTCACCACAGTATTGCAATTTGAAATCACAATAGGACTTTTTATGGCCTTAAGGAGACAAGAAAGGTCATGAGACTGCCAAAGTTTTCATTCAGGATCAGGAAAAAACAAACAAAAAGCAGATTTAAAGGAACTATGGAAGACCCCTCCCTTCCCAAAACATTGTTTTATGATGACCTCCCACCAGTCATTCTTATTAACTGCAAAGATTATCATTGCCTCTACCAGTTAGCACTTATTTCATTCTGCCTTCTGGGAACAAGGAATGTTTTCCCATCTGCCACCCTCCCTAGAACATGAATGGCTTAAAGGAAAAGACCAAGACTTGTTCAGTTTGAGTAAAAAGCTCACAATTTCCTGAAAATTTTTTCATGAGCACGCTAATCAAATAGGACCTTCTTCAACAAATAATAAGTCTCCTGGTTCCAATCTGGTCCTTCCTGGAGGTGAAAAAACTCAAAAGAGAATGCTCAAGGGAAACATTTTTAATGGGAAGTATTCCTGGATCCTACCTCTTTGCTGATAGTTTCTCCCAGTGAGGCCAAGTTCAGTCTCATTTAAGTCAAAGGAGAAGAAGATAGAAGGAGGGGCAGGCATGGTGAACCCCTTAACCTCTTCCTCTCTTACTTGGGCAGGGGCTAGTAAGTAACAGTTATAACTATTACAGAAGACTGTATGTGAGCGATCCAGACTTAAATGTTGGGAATTCACAGACTGAAAGTTGTTAATCTCTCTAGTATTCAGTAGGTGGGTCTGACTATTGAGCCTTGGACAGGTGAGAGCTTAAAAATAACTGGTACTGATTGAGTACTTTCTATGTCCTCAGCTCTGTGCTTTCAATATACTTGCATGCATTCTTTTACTTCGTATCCACAGCACTTTGAAAAATGTAAATTATTATCCCTATTTTTCAGATATGGAAATGAAAGCTCAAGAGGTTGAAGTACTTGCCAAAGTCACATAGTTGGTGTCAGAGTCAGGAATTTAGCTGAGACAGTGTGATTCTAGATTCAACAGACTTAAACATGTTACTTACACAGCTTCCTTCAAGTGGTCCATCTTGCCCAAAATTTGCCCCAGGACCTGCACTTCCACCTCAGGGATACACCATCTGCTTGCTTGGGAGAGAGTCATTCAACCTCTGGTCCTATCTGCAAAACAAGAATAGTCTGCACTTACGAGCAGCACTCAGCTTAGTCCAGCAATATTTAGTACTTCCTTTTTAGTGTTCACATAAATAATACCCGGGCATGTCCTGACCGCCACACTTAGCACAGACCCTATTCCCTAGGGTCCATGTCATTGCCAGACACATAATAGGTATGCATACTCATTAAGATACAGACTAGACTGCTGTAATAACAGATACCTGAAAATGCGATTATTCCTTTCTTACATAAAATTCCAGGTAAGTTGTCCAAGACTTGTATGGCAGCTTAACAATACTGAGGACCAGATTCCTTCTCTTATTGCTCTGCAAATATTTAACACATCACTCTCATGACATGCTTTAAGATGGCACATACCATCTTATGGTATAAAAATAACATACATTTATTATTTTACAATCCTGGAGGTGAAAAGTCTGAAATGGGTCTTGTGGGGATATGATGAAGGGATCAGTAGAGTAGTGATCATTCTAAAGGCTCTGAAGGAGAATTTCTTTCTTGATTTTTCCAGTTTCTAGAAACTACCAGTTTTCCTTGGTTCATGGCCAAATCACTCCAACCTCTGCTTCTGCAGTCACATTTTCTTCTCTGTCTGATGTTTCTGCCTCCCTCATTTCCTTATGACTACACTGCAACCACCTGGATAATTCAAGATAATCTCTCCATTGCCCCCACCCCATCCTTAATTTAGTCACATCTGCAAAGTCCTTTTTTGCCATGTGAGGTAACATAGTCATAGGTTTTGAGGATTAGGACATGAACATTTTGGGGGAGGGCCAATATTCTGTCTATCACAGATAGCTACTCCATCTGCCAATTACCCAGATTCCAACCAACAGGAAGGGAGAAAGAAGGAGAACAGTTCCTATATTTTAAAGTCATAAACAAAAAGTTGCACAGAAACTAATTCCACTCATACTCTACTGGCCATAACAGTCATATGGCCACAGCTAGATTCAGAGGAATCTGGAGAGTGTAGATGGCCATGTGTTAGGGACTGAATTTTGTACCCCTCCCCCACAAATTCAAACTCTAACCCTCAATGTGACTCTATTTGGAGACAGGGCCTTTAAGGAGGTAAGTAGGGTTAAATGAGATCATAAAAGTGGGGGCCTAATCCAATATGACTTGTGTCCTTATAAGGAGAGAGAGACATCAGAAATGTACACACATAGAGAAAAGACCATATGAAGACACCATGAGAAAGTGACTTTCTGCACACTAAGTAGCAAGGCCTCAGGAGAAATAACCCTTCTAACACCTTGGTCTTGGACTTCCAGCCTCCAGAACCGTCAGAAAACAAATTTTTGTTGGTTCAGCCACACATTATTATTATTATGTTAGGGACAGTCCAACCTGACTAACATATCATGTTCTCAACTAAAAATTATGTCATATTAAAAAGTGAAGTGAAACTAATGGAACATCTTGCCCTGGCCATGTCTGCCATGTCTCTAACAAATAAAAGAATAGGAGCTCGTGAAGTGGCTCAAGTGGTAGAATGCCTGCTGAGCGAACATGAGGTCCTGAGTTCAAACCCCAGTACCACCAAAAAAAAATAACAAATGAATAAGTAATGCATGCAACATGGCAGGAACTGTGCTAGGACACTGGGGACTTCAGCATGAAGAAAGTAAAGTGCTTGGGGGACTCACAACTTAAGATGGAAGATTGAGAATACAGTAGCATTAATCTAATATGGAAGCCACACTAGAAATCATAACAACCTTATTGAGCCACTCATGGTGTTTGCTGTTTTATATTCTGTACTCATATTAATGTATTTCTTTCACATAATAACTCCTGGAGATTGAGGGCCAGAGTGTTAGAAAATCTTTCTTAATGAGACACCCTGAGCTCAGTCTTCAAGAACAAGTGATACACAGGTCATGAAACAGAGAAGGAGTATTCCTGGAGGAAGGAACAGGTAAGAGCAAAGTTCTGGCCACATGAATCATCCTGCTGAAGGAGCCTAGTTACTTCCCAGGGGACATTAAGCCATATGGCCAGAGAATAAGTAAGGATGCATTTTGGAACACCTCGAATGCCTTGCCAGGACACTTGGATTTTATCCTACAGGTGACAGGGAGCAATGAATGGGTGCTACTCAGGACAGCACTGCTAGATTTTTGTTCTAGAGTCATCTGCCCGGGGGCAGTGATGGGACCCTGGGACTCAAGGCCCTGACCCCAGTGACAGTGTTGTTAGAGTAATAGAGAGGAAAGTGGTCAAGGGCTACCCTAACACAGAGTCAATCAGAGTAAAGAGGAGATGGCTTCAAGGGATATTTAAGAGGTGAAATCAGTAAGATTTAGTGGCCAGTTAAGTGAAGGCACTTAATAAGGAAAGATGTGAAAGATAACATCTAGTTCCAACACTGGGTAACAGAGTGGACAGTGTACTATTGAATGAGAAAGATATCCCGAGGACTTGCTGGATTATTGGAGAAGCAAATGAACACATTTTGGAACATGGTGAATTTGAGGGGCCGTGAGTCATCCAAGTAGAGATTGGAATATACTGTTTAATACATGAGTCTGAGTCTGTCCAGTGAGGTGTTGACTGGGGGATAGATACAGATAAATTCATCCACATACAGGTGGTGGCTGTCTTGGAAATGAATAATGACTCCACAGAGAGTGGGCAAAGAACAGAATCCAATGGGGACTTCAGCATGTAAGGGACAGATGCAACAGGAAGATATTGGGAAGAGAGTAAGTTATCTTGGAAACCAAGGTTATAGGTCTTTTTGAGAAAGAAAATGTAGTCAAGTGACTTTAATCAGAGTCCTATAAGCCAAAGATGAGAAATGCCCCCTCAGTAGGCAATTTTGCTATTGGTGGCTGTTTTTGTGAAGAGATGTCAACAGAGCCTGTCTTTGGGAAGCTAATGAGAAAGCAGGAGATGAGGAAGAGGAGTCAGAAAGTTTCTTACGGAGAAACTTGGTTGAAAAGCCCCAGCCATTCTGTCCCTAAACCCTACCCTAATCCTATGTGTCCCACCCCAAGGGAAGAGTATAACATCACCTACACAGCAGTCTTTCCCAAACAAATCAAATCTGAATTTGACCAAAATTCTGCGCAATCATCAATTTATAGACAATACAGAGGACAGGTGAACATGGTAAACCATATACAACTGTGCAATCTGAAAGCTCCAGAACACAAGAAACTGTAGGACAAACAACTTGAAGGACAAAAAACTCAGTTTTTCCAATAAGATGCAAAGTAAAAATATAGGAAAGTGGGAAACTTTAGATTCAAAGATGCTTGAATGACAGATCAACCAATCACAATGTATAGACTCTATTTATATATCAATTCAAACAAAACTTATGAGATAATGGGAAATTTTATTACTAACTGAATACTTTATGGTATAAGGCTTCACTGTCAATTTTTAGTACACTAGTACTATTGTGTATATGTTAAAAAAAGAAGCCCTTATGTATTAGAAATATATAATCCAAAAAATATATATATAAATAAATCAATATCAATCTAAAATTTGTTTCAAAATAGTACCAGAGAGGAAGCGTATGGGGCATTAGTGGGTCAGGTTTAGTGGAAGCTACTGGTTTTCAGAGCTGGTAATGGGATTCATTATTTATTAGGTCTATTTATGTCTGTGTTTGAAGTTATTCACGGTAGTAAAAAAGAAGGCTTGGCTAGGAAGGGAAGAAGAGGCAGAGGAGGTCCTGAAAGGAAGAGGAGTAGATTTGATGGTCCCAGCAAGGCCACAAGACCAGACATCTCTTCTTCCCCATGTTTTCTCTACCTCCTCACCTCTCCCTGTTATTAAGACAAACCCACTCTGAGCTCCCACCCCAAGATGAAAGACAGTGAGATTTGTGACCCTTGAGTAAGATGGGTTAGAGGTTAGATAACAGGGCAACGGTAGCCACCTCTTAAGCAAAGAGAAGTCAAGTCAGTGCCAGCCCCTTATGACTTTTTGTCTGCCTTTGTTCACCACCAGTAGGAGTGTCCCTGTTTGAGGACATGAGCCATTTATCCTCATCCACTCAGAGGGTCAAGTCCATTCCCCCATGGCCAAGGTCTGGGCTGTTAGAATTGGATGAGACATAGAGTCAAGAGATGAGTATTTCTCTCCTGGAGCCTCTGTATCTAAGCACATGTGACTCCTGGGCAAGTGGCTTCACCTGTCTGGGCCTCAGACTCCCACACTGTGCAATGAGGATAAATGTGATCACTGGTGTGGAGCAGGGCAGGGACATGGGCTGCTGATACATGGATCCTGTAGGGCCTCAGCCTTCTGGGGATGCCTTCCCAGAGAGCTGCCTCCTCCGGCCTTCCCCAGCCCCTCCCCAGCCCTGTCGCACCAGCCCCTCTGCATCTGTCATCAGTCACTCTGCTCCCCCTGGGCCAGGCTCTGTTTGGGGGTGGCTGGCAGACTGCCCGTGCACAAGCAGAGGCAGTGACGCCTGCTGCTGCAGATAACACTTCACAGGCTGCATCATCACCTACACTTACAGCCACCTCCCACCCACCATGACCCCCAGTTCCAAGAGGTACAGAGTCCAGAATAACCATGCCAGGCTCCTGATTGCCTCATCCACACCCTACCCACTGCTTGCTCAGAGCTTTAATCCAAAGGTAGTGTGAGCAGGACAAGAACCATTCCTAAGCTCCCCCTATGCACCATGAGACAGGCACGACACAAGCTCGCCATGGGCCTTGGCCGTTGAACCTTTACAATCCTACATGGTAGGTGCTAGAACTAGTCATAATTAACAGACTCAGAGAGGGGAAGTGACTTTTCCAAGGTATAAAGTGGCACAGTCAGCATTTGAATCTAAGTTCCAAGGCCCTAAATTCTGTGGAGGCTCTAGGAAAGCACAGCCCCAGCCTTGGTAATCTAGGCTCCATGTTTGATAAAATTAGCACCAAGTTCAAGTTCACTAGGCCAAGTTGAAGTAGGCTGAGGGAAACCATGCTGCATTTGTAGAAGGAAGAAGAGACTATGATGTTCATTGTCCCCCAGTGTTCCTTCAGATGGGGACCCTCAAGTTAACTAGGGAGCTGGCTTCTTATCTCATGTTGAGTCCCAGCCTTCACCCACCCCTGTGTAGACTAGTGCCTGCGTGTAGCCAGCCCTGTGCCAGGCCACATGGATGAGTCAAAGGTCAGGCTTCTTCCCTCCTGCTCAGAGAAGGCAGGCATAAGAGAGAGTCTGAGAGGCCAGGAAGAAGCAGGAACTCCTACAAGATGCCAGCATGCGTATGAGTGGAGCCAGAGTCCAATGCCTCCACTCTATATGTGGAGAAAGTGGGTACCAGGGATGGGTGTCAGAGGGCTCAGAGAGGGTCACACAACTGGGAAGAGCACAACAAGATGGAAACCCTGGATTTTAGGCTCTGGCCCAGCTTCTCTTCACTGTCTAAAGTTGCTGTCCTCCCTCCACCATCCCTTCACATACTACCCTTAGTCCCTGACATTACTTGTTATCTTGCCTGGAAAACTGGTGAGCTTCACCTCAGACAGAGACCACTCACCCTTTTAGAACCTGAAGCAGCAGGTCTAAATGACCAAAGGAACCCTAGATTGAGTGTCAGCTACACGGAGAACATCCCAGGATGTTTTGCCTCCTGACCTTCAACTCATTCTGTTCTCTAAGCCTGAAATGCCTTTCCCTTTAGCTCTCCCCTTTGATGCTCCTACTCATCCTTCAACACCCAAAGGAAAGAATACCATACTTCCTTTCAGGGAAGTCTTCTTACATACCCACAAGAATTCATTCCTCTCTCTGAGTTTTCAGCAAGGGGCTTTGACAATTCATTCATGGGTAGGTTTCTCTCATCACTAGATGGAGCTCTCTGGAGCTCTCTGAATTATCCTCAGATTCTGTCAACAATGCCTAGCTTGAGGCCTGAAAATAAATTGAGTAGGTGTTTAGGAGACACTTGAAGGGTGGAAAGAGGTTAGGCCAGTTGGGACACATGGACTGTAAATCACTTTCCCAAGCCAGAAAGAAGCAACAGTCCAGGAAAGCTTCCTGGAGGTGGCAGGACAGGATGTGGACAGAGGCAGATGACAGGCATCCCAAGCAGCAAGAGAATGATATTGGGCCTCTGCCTTCTTCCCCCTGCCAGAAAACCGCTGTCCTGCTGCCACTGGCCAGGGGAGGGCAGATTTGGGGGAGAAAATCAGCCAGCCCTCCCTTCATAGGCGTGTGGCTGGGGCAGCTGCTAGGGGCAGCAGCTGGTGTCCGTTCCTGGAGCCCAACGGCTGTGTGTGCCTTAATCCCACCCCTTTGGAGCCCCCCAGGCTGGCAGGTGGGCTGATTAGGCAGAAAGAAGGCAACACAAGAGGGGTGGGGAGCTGAGCCCCTCCCAGGCCCCCACAGCTGCACCCCAGATCCCGCCCCATGTGCCGCCCCTGTTACCAGCCCTGAGATGGAGGCCTGAACTTCTCTGCATGGAAAGAGTCCACTTACAAAGTTTGAACTGGAAACTGCAAAGAAGAGACTGGCATCTTAGACATACGCCCCTTAGTGTCTTCTGGCTGGGGCCAGGGAAGCCCCAGCACACGGTAGAGGCAAGTGTTCACACAGGCACCAAGGTGTGGATGTGCCTGTAAGGAGAATGAGAGACCATGAGCAGGTGGAACACAAAGTGTGGCATTTACATGGTCTGTGAGGTGAGGTGTACATTGCAGGGAGATATACACATGTGAGGTATACATGAAGTAAGACGGGCATTCGCATATGAGGTGTAACGTGTGTGATGTGTACGTGGTGTGTAGGATGGACACTGTGGAAGATATGTTCTGTGTGTGAGACTTCCTCATGTGTGAGGTGTATGTGGCATGTGAGGTATACATGGAGTGTCAGGCCTATGTGGCACAAAGTGTGTACCCAATGTGAAAGCTGTACACAGTGTGCAAGGTAACACAGAATGTGTACATCTGAGCAGATATGGACCTACTATAAAATGTGTACACAGTGTGTGTACACATTTTAGGCTATCATCACATTATTTGTGTCATATTACTTGGTTTAGTAAACAACATTGGATTTGCGTTTGGGATCCTGGGAATCTGGGTCCTCAAAATAACCTTGTGCTCATCTCCGGGATAGCAAAAGACTTCTATGCAAGTCATAAGTTTGAAGGGGAGGCTGGATGAATGAGCCTCTCAGGTCTTTCGAGAAAACAGGCATCTCTTGGTTCTTAAAAGGCCTCAGCTCTCCCTACCCCTGTCAAACTGTCTCAGGTCCTGCTGGCTCTGCTCACCTGCTTTCCTAGTTTGTGGGAAAGAAGTGGGAGGTGAGAGGTATTATGGGGTGTACGTGTCACGTGGGTTGTGGATTGCATGTGTGTGTGCATGGGGTGTGAAGTGTGCAAGGCACATGGGTCTGGGAGGGTGAAAAGCTGGGGACTATGGAGCCCCACTCACAATGCCAAGGTCACATCAGGCATATCCTGAGCCCTCCACCCATTCCTTACTTAGCTTCCCATCTTTTCCTCACACCCTGAGTTAAACTAAAGTTACTTCTAGGTGAATTGACAACTAATGTTAAAAAATTATATCTAGAGAATTTCCTCTTGAGGAAAAACTGTTAAATTGAAGTGCTGTGTTAGCATTAGAGGGAGTTTTTAATAAATGTACTAAGGGGTCGAGAAAGTTCCAGCCCATTAAGCCTAATTTTTAAAGAATTTCTTGGCTTGTAAGAAATCTTTTTGTTAAGAGCAACAGACCACCTATCAAACCCCATCCTGGCATGCTCTGTTGCCACTGCCACACCCTCACCCAGCCCAAGGCAGTGCCAAGACATTCAGGTCTTGGGCTTGGGGCAGGCAGGAGCCACGCCTATCTCGTCGTTCATTGAATCCCCTACTTCTAACAGAGGCTACTGTCCCTTTGGAGGTACTCAATAATTATTTGTTCTCTCTGCCTAGAACATTCTTCCCCAGATAGCCACATGGCTCACTCCCAGAGCTCTTTTACCTCTTTGCTCAAATGTCACTTTGTCAACCTGGCCACTCAAAGTTAGTACTGCGACCAGTCCCATGCTAGCACCCCAATCCTGTTCATCTTGCTCTGCTTTTAATATTTTTCTGTACATGTACCACCTTTTAATACACTATATAATTTGCATAATATTATGCTTATTTTTATTGTTTTTTCTTGCCCTGTCAGAATGTCAGGTCCACAAGGGCTGAGAATAATGTTGATATATTCCCAACAATTGAATAAATGTTTATGGAATGAGTGAATGTATCATAGACTAGATAACTGGCAGCAGGCATACGCCCCCACAGTGCATCCCCCACTTCTTAAGCCCACAGTCCTTTCTGCCTTCTTATCCCCCCTCCCACACCCATGGGGATCCCTGCTCTCCAACACCCAGCTTATCTGCCAGACCCCTACAATCTGCTTGGATGTGGGTGGCTGGGCAGTATTCCAGAGTGGGAAGCATGAAAGTGCTCTGAGACCCTGACCCTGACTGGAACCATGTCTATACCCTGGAAGAATCTCAGTCAGGAGATCCTAAGGCAGGATCTACACCTATGTGGTGGGCAATTTTAGGCTTTTCCAGAGAGCAAACTTACCAGGGAACAGTCAGGGGCACTCAGGATGGGTCCAGGGACAGGAAAGGAAAGGGTGAGGGTGGAGAAAGGACCTGGAGCTGGCCCTGCCCCACCTAGCCCACTCATGTTTTTGCCCTCTGGTCCTTGCATACCCCCACTTCTCAGCCAGATATGGGCTGGCCCAAGTGCAGAGGCCACAGGTCCCACTTGGGCAGGGCAAGGGTGCCTGAAGACTGAGGCAGGTGCAGGCTGGATCAGGTTTCCAGAGGCATATATATATATATATATATATATGCCTCTGGGAGCCCCAGGCCACTGTTTCCTGAAGGCACAACACCCCAGGGGCCCAGCCAGACCAGCATTCCTGCCCAGAGGCCAGATCTCCATTTATAGACACTGGGCAGGCGAGCCAAAGAAACTGAGTAGGGAGGACTGGAAAGGGCACAGGGAGAAGGGACAGCCAGGGCAGCCCTTCCTCCCTGCCTCCTGCCAAAGGAGCCCCTCACTGTGGAGATGGGGGAACAGAGGCCTAGACAAGATCACAGAGCCAGCAACTGGTCTGTATTAAAGGAAGAGGTGCCCCATAGTCCCCCAGCTATGCCAATGGCTTCTCCCAGCACAAGTCCAGTAACAATGAACAGAGCGTTCATTGCCTACTATACTCCACAGTATACGAGTTCAGCTCTTGCAGCTTCCAAATTTGATGTCCTTTCTCCTTCCTGTCTGCTCCATGCACTAAGACACCAAGTCCCAGGGCAGACACAGTTCTCCCAACAGGAATGGGATGATGGTGTCAACAAACCTCTTTCCAAAGATGTGGAATGAATGATCAACAACTCCCAAGAGGGAGTGGATCCAAGCCTGGAGAGGTATGTAAAGGTCACCAACTTCAGTGAGTTCCAGACTTTTTTTTTCAAGCAGCAAAGCCTTGTAGCAAACAAAAATCCTGCTTGGTAGCCCAATATAAGAGTGGCATTTTACCACTAGAATGTGTACATGCTTTAAAATGGTACTTCCTAATTACAGAAGAACATGAAGCTACAAATCAAGTTTAAAACTGTCAAAACAGCTTAGATTGTTAAGCCACAAGTGATAAGACATTAAATGCGTATGGTTAAGGACAAATATTCAACATTTACTTATTGTAAATACATCTTGATGACAAACCAGAGTTTTCATGGACATAAAACATGAAAAAGCAAAGTTGTAATCACTTAAGTCTCAGCGTCCAATTTATTTCTGTATTTAATTCTTTGCTTGCTCTAGTTTGAGGAAAATCTAGATTTCCATAGATAAATAGTATGAAGAACCTCCCCAAAGATCCCAGGATACTCTTCAATTAAATTAATTGATTCATTCATTCATTCATTTATCCAAGAAATATTTATGGAGTGCCTACAGTATGCCAAGAAGTCTGCTGAGGCTTGTACAAATAAGAAGAGATACTTGTTTCAATCTAAATCATTATCATAACATTTATATTTCTCATTGTGAATTTAAGTCAAATGAAAACACTCAAGCTTATGCTAAACATCAAATCTCTCTGTAGCATACTATTACGATTTTGCAGTAAGTCATGTGCAATTGCCCAGCATAAGAGGGCATGCACCAGGCAGACAGGCCATATAGACCTGGGTTAGGAGATGAGGTTTTCTTCCACTTCAGTGAGAAGCTGTGAGAGGTTTGAGGCAAAAGAGTGGTAGGATTTCATTTGTAATTTTAAAGGTTTACTCAGGCTGCTGTGTAGTAAATAGATTATACGGTGATGAGAGTGGAAGAGAGGTAACCAAGGAGGTTTGGGGGGTCATCCAGGCCAGCAGTGTGATAGCTTTATCTAGGATGGTGACAGTGGAGATGGACAGACACAAGAGATGTCTTAGGGGGAGAGTGGCAATATCTTCCTTATGCCCAGACCTGCCCTCTAGAACACTGGCCTCCAAATCTCCACATCTCCACCTGGATGTTTAATCTGAATTTCAAATTTTGGTCAAACCTGGATTCTTGACGTGCCACCTACAAACCCACTCTTTCCCAGCCCCATCTTCCAGAAGTTACCCTGAACTTCTCTCTGTCCTCCTGTCCACATCCATAAGTCTTTCTGACTCCATCTTGAAAATATACCTAGAATTCACAATCACTTTTCACTAGCTAAGCAACCCTCATCACTCGGGTAATTGCAAAAGCAAGTAAAAATTGGAAACAGGAGCCCATTCAGAGTGCTGGAAGCAAAGAAAAGAAGTCAGGCTAACTAAAACAGAACCATCAAAAAGGACAATGACTTCAGATGAAGTGGGAGAGAGAGGCTGAAGCCAGCTCATGTCCCACAGACATACCAGCCTCCTTGATGTGCCTCAAACCTGCCAAACATAGTTCTGCTCCAGGACCTTTGCACATGCTTGTTTCTCTATCAAATCTCAGACATCTGCTGATATGTATTTTTGCCTCCCTTCGTTAAAGTCCCTACTTAGATGTGACCCACCCAGAGAGGCCTTCCCTGACCACTCCTTATAATGAAATAATCATCACTTGTTCCCTTGCTTTACTTAAATTTTCTTTGTAGAATTCATAACCTCCTGATGTCATATACTCTCTTATTTATTTGCTTCTTTGTTATTCTGCCCTACAATTTAAGCACCATATGAACAAAACCTAGGTTTCATTCCTTGCTGTATCCCCAATACCTGAACTCAGCATATAGTGGATCCTTCGCAACATGTGTTAAATGAATAAACAAAGGTAATGCTATAGAGTGAAGGGAAGTTAGCACTTCATGAAGGTAGTAGTCAGCACTGCTACTAACAGCAGAGAAGTGAAGAAGGTTGGGCACCAAAAGAGCCTTCTGGGTTTGATGGAAGGGCTTCTAAGGGCCCAGAAGGCCAACTAGGATAGTTTCCAGAAGTTAGTAGGAAAGGCACAAAGTTCACTTTTGCTTCAATTTCTGGTGTCCAGGAGGGGATAACAGGCAGAGATGTGTGGTCAAAGAATATTTCTACCCAGAGCCAGAAGAGGAAGGTATGCACTGAAGATTCAGAAAGAGGTGGGGTTCCATGGGATGGGGAATGTTGAAGCTTGGAAGGGAGCCAGAACTCCTAGGCAGTGGTTGCCTCCTGTTCCCAGCCTCTCCAGTGAGCCTGCAGGGAAGAGAAGCAGCTGAAGCCTCCAGAGAAGCTGAGCCTGAAGACTCAACTGGCCCTTGCCAGGGCTCAGCGTCCCAGACAAAGTGTACAGTGGGGTATACAGTGTAGTGGGGGCTGGGGATAGAAGCATGCCCTCTTACTAGCAGGACCTTGCTCCTCCGCTGAGAGGTTCCACATCTTCCCTCTCTTCAGATTCTCGCCACCACAATTACTCCAAGAGATCGCTATTATCCCAAGTTATAAAGTGGACACTGAGGCCTCAGGAAGGAGATGTGACCGCCACAAAATCCCGCAGACTCCACTGTAGGTGGGGTCCTCTGGCCAGGTCCCGGAGTTTGTGACCTTTACAAAAGGCACTTCCTTTGACTCAGCACAGCAAGATAAGACAAGCCCAGGAGAGATGGGTTTTCTTCCCAGCTGAAGAGGCCTCTCAGCCTAGACCCCAGGCCATGGCAACAGATACTGGACCAGGGAAACTTGCAGGGTTAAGTTGTACAGGATCCGAAGTCTCAGCAGCGAGTCCCAACTCCCGTTAAGACCCGGCTGGGTTTCTAAGCGTCCAGAACAAATGGGCTCGACCCATGGCGCTCTGAGCGACTCCCAGGGCCAAGACTGGTCGAATGTCACGGCCTCCACGTCATTTGGCTCAGGTTCGCCCACTTAGACTCTCTTGGTCTCTCTCACTAGCTTCTCAACCCTGGCTCTAGCTTTCTGCTCTCTGTCTCTCAGTCTCTTTAGTTTTATCTCCTACCGTCTCAGTTTCTTTGGATTTCTCTCTCACGGTCTCACCATCTCCACTCTACATGTGTCTCTGCCCTATTGCTTTGCGTCACTCTCCAAATCTCTGCGGAACTGATTTCTACCCTTGGATTCACCCACAAATCAGGAGACAGACTGGGGTCCAAGGTCAGTTACGAGGTGAGAGGGCGAGGCCAACTTCCCCCGTGCCCCCGCGGACGCAGGAGTAGGGTACAAATGCAAAAGAGGTTTGGAAAGGGTGCGCGGGATAGCCAGGTGCAGTGCCATTGGGTCGCTGGTCTCTGTCTCTCTCCTTGCTTTGGGAGGGGCCGGAGCGCGCGCGCACTAGCGCTGAGGGGCCGAAGGGGGCACTGTCTGGGCCCAGCTGCCACCCTGGGGACCCCCAAGCTCCGCCCTACTTCGTTCCTATTGGCCTCGGGCTCCCCCGCCCCCCGCTGCCTGCTCTGGCTCCCAGACGTTTAGACTACCACAGATAAATAGCCCAGGGCTCCTGGCTTGAAGCTAGGGGTGAGGAAGCCCCAAGAGCTGTGGCCGCTTTCCTTGCCACACGTCCCCGCCCGACAGGACCGGGCGGGGCAGAGGACAATCGGGTGTGCATTCAAATCCCCGGCACTTTGCCATCGAACCTCCGGTGCTCTGGAGTGGCAGAAAGTTTGGGGCAAATATTGCCAGTCGAGTTGGGCAAGGCCAGGACCGCACCTCCCCACATTAGGATATGGAGCTACTGTCGCCGCCTCTCCGAGACGTAGACTTAACAGGCCCCGACGGCTCTCTTTGCTCCTTTGCCACAGCAGACGACTTCTATGACGACCCATGTTTCGATTCACCGGACCTGCGCTTTTTCGAGGACCTGGACCCGCGCCTCGCGCACGTGGGTGCACTCCTGAAGCCAGAGGAGCACTCACACTTCCCCGCCGTGGTGAACCCGGCCCCTGGCGCCCGCGAGGACGAGCATGTGCGTGCACCCAGCGGGCACCACCAGGCGGGCCGATGCCTACTGTGGGCCTGCAAGGCGTGCAAGCGCAAAACCACCAATGCCGACCGCCGCAAGGCAGCCACCATGCGCGAGCGCCGCCGCCTGAGCAAAGTTAATGAGGCTTTCGAGACGCTCAAGCGCTGCACATCCAGCAACCCGAACCAGCGACTGCCAAAGGTGGAGATCCTGCGCAATGCCATCCGCTACATCGAAGGTCTGCAGGCTCTGCTGCGTGACCAAGACACCACGCAGCCTGGCGCCGCCGCCTTCTACGCGCCTGGCCCGCTGCCCCCAGGCCGCGGCGGCGAGCTCTACAGCGGCGACTCAGATGCGTCCAGCCCGCGTTCCAACTGCTCAGACGGCATGGTAAGAGCAGGACCCCAAGTGGGAGAAATGAAGGCGGCACTCTTGATATCTGCGATGCTTTCCCCAGGGCGGGGAACTGGCACTTGAAATGGGAGGGAACCCTTCCTAGGGGTAGGCCCCTTAGTTCTGGGCAGCTGTGGCTGGGGTAGCCAAGTATTTTGGAGACTCGCAGGACACATGCGATCCACCCGATTGGAGTGCTATTAGATCACGGCTGTGCCGACGTGAAGTATACTTTCTCTCCACTTATCCTTACTTCCAAAATGCATGTTGGTGTCCCTAAAGTGACTGTCCATCCTTGGTTTGGCCCTGTACGCTGCAACTCTCAATTCATGAAGGCTTCTACCTCTCAACCTGCATAGATCCGGTCCTAGAATTCCTGATCTAGACTTGGGAAGTTGGGGAAGGGGCAGCTACAGGAAGTGGTGCTCGGGCCGCGCTGTCCCGAGGACCTGACTCTGTTGTCTTTGCGGTTTGCAGATGGACTACAGCGGCCCCGCAAGCGGCGCCCGGCGGCGGAACTGCTACGACGGCGCCTACTACAGCGAGGCTCCCAACGGTGCGTACTCCTAGCTTTGCCCTGCTCGCACCTCCTTTGAGTGCCTCCCACCCGCACCCCGCGCTATCTTGGCTTTCCTCTATCTAGGACCCCCCCCCCCCATCACCACCACACATATATCTTAGATGATGATGCAGGGTATGAAATACTAAGCGTGCGGCTATCTGCTCCTTTCGCCCGGACTCTGCCAAGTCCTCAGTTTCCCATCTGTCCCCAAAGCCCTGGGCCCTGGGGTAGGAGGCTTGCCAGGGCTCAACTCCTGCTTACTAATCTATCCCTTCCTGTACAGAGCCCAGAACCGGGAAGAGTGCAGCCGTGTCGAGCCTGGACTGCCTGTCCAGCATTGTGGAGCGCATCTCCACGGAGAGTCCCGCTGCACCCGCGCTGCTGCTAGCCGACGCGCCACCAGAGTCGCCTCCGCACCAGCAAGAGGCGGCCACCCCGAACGAGGGAGAACCCGGCGCCCCCACCCCGTCCCCGGACGCCACCCCACACTGCCCTACGGGCGCAAACCCCAACCCCATCTACCAGGTGCTCTGAGAGGCGGGCTGCAACATCGGAGGACACCGCTGCCTACCCTACCAAGGGAATGGTGCCCCTAGGTCCCTCGAACCCAAATGATTGAGCTTAAACGCCAGTTCACCCAACCGCGCTTTAAAAGCGACACCTCCCGAGCTGAGAAAGCAGGAAAACTGGAATGTGTTCCCGCCCCTAGTCCCCGGGGAAGGACACAGTACGTTATTTCTACGCAGCACCCTTCCCTATAACCCACTGCGATGGCCACTTAGTGTTCCTCGGTGAGCCAGAGCTGATTCTCGAGGGGCCAGGCCCTTCCTTTTCCTTGCTGCCTCCCTCATGGGGGTGAGACCCTCGAAAACCTAAACCCTGCGCCCACCCCACCCCCACCAGGTTGTCTTTGGGGGGAGTGGCCCCTACTTTCCAGAGCCCTCGCGACATCCACTCTTTTCCACCGCCTGCGGGGTGCGCTCCAGTCCCAAATATAACACTTGTAACCATACCCCCACCCCACCCCCATCCCGCGGTTCAGGACCACTTTTTGTAATACTTTTGTAATCTATTCCTGTAAATAAGAGTTGCTTTGCCAGAGCGGGAGCCCCTAGGGCTGTATTTATCTCTGAGGCATGGTGTGTGGTGCAACAGGGACTTTGTATGTTTATACCGCAGGCGGGCGAGCCGCGGGCGCTAGCTCGCTCAGGTGCTGGAAATAAAGATGCTAATTTATACCGCGGTGGCGCTGGCTTTCCCTGGACTTGGGGAGGGATCCAGAGGCATCTCCTCAAATTGAGCCAGCTGTCCCGCAGCGACCTCTGTAGGCAGCAGACAGATTGCAAGGAGAAAGCCTGCCACCTTGGGAAGGAGGTGTGTATTTGGTTCCTCTGATCTTGACTCCAGCACCATATCAAATTCAGTGGTTCTCATGGGAGGATGTGCATTAGATTAATCTGAGTTTTAAAAAATCCATGTCCTGTCCCACCCCCTAGAGATTCTGATTTAATGAAACTGCCCAGATACCCCAGGCCAGTTATTGGTATTTTCCAAGATTCTCCTAGTGATTCTAAAGTGTGTATAAGGTTGAGAATGGTTAGAGAATAGCATCCTTCTGATTGCTATTCCAGAAAGATGGCTGGGAGATCATGGCTGCAGGGACAACTCAAGAGTCTTCCTAGGTATAGAGAATGGGATGGGATGTACACAGCACAAGGAGGAAAAACTAAAAGGGTCTGGAGGAGACTTGCAAGCCTTATGGTACTTACAGGCCCTTAATGATAGTGTAACTGCAGGGGGTAGCCTCAGCCAGGAGCCCATGCTCAGAGCTTACCCTGTCTCTGCTAATGAGACAGGAACCCAGAGCCCATTCAACAAATGCCAGGTCCTGTGCTGAGGAAAAAACAGAGACCACTGGATGTAGTTCCTGCCCTTTGGAAGTACTCAGACATTTTGGGAGAAGGGGGGGTTGGATCTTTTCAGTAACTGGTTGCATCATAATGATTGAAGCACTATAATGTGGATGTGTGGCAGAGAAACACCACAGGAGCAGTCTGGGAAGTACAGACAAGCAGAAAACCTCTGGTAAGAATCTTAGAGGAACTGGTCAGGAAAGAGGGAGCAAGGATGAAGAAACAGCAAATGCAGGGGCCTGGAGGGGAGAGAGAGCAAGCTGTGCCTTCATAGACCTGAAAAGGCTTGTGAGGAAGGGGCCTGAGGTGAGATGGGGAAAAGGCAGAGGTGGGGCCACAGTGAACCTGATTTGGGCTTTATCCTGGAGGCAATAGAGGAAATAAAACAGGGGAAGGATATAGATAGGTGGATAGATAGATAGATAGAGCGAGCTGTATTTTAGAAAGGTCAGTTTGGGCTGGCAAAATGGATGGAGGGAATAAGATGACATAAGACCTGTCATGAGGCTGCTGAGGTTGTTCAGAGGAGACGAGACATGTCCTGAACTGGGGCAGTGACTGGAGATAGAAAGGAGGCATAGGACCAGAGACAACTGTGGCAAATAATGTGTTGGGAGTGCAGGGCACTTTGAGGGCACAGTCCCTACCTCCTATAGCCATAGGGGAAATAGCTATTAGACACAGAATAAAGTGAATAGTGCAAAGTGCTGTAAAGAAAAGTAAAGGATTCAATGAGAGATGAAAATAGGAGACAAGAAAGTAATCAGGAGAGAGGAGAACACAGTTTCTACACTGAAGGAACCAATAACCCCTTTACTCCTGAGGAAATTGCCCTGTAGCAGGTACATGGCTTCACAAGCAGCAGACAGGCTAGACTCAGCCCCGACTCACTCCTCAGCCAGGTACACTTGTGCAGTGAACAACCTGAAGAACTCTTCACAGCGCCTTGTGTGTGGAGGCACACAAGAGAAATGAGAAAGAAGGAGCCATGGATGTCCTCACGCTCTGGTTTGCTTCTGAGTGGGTGGTATCATTACAGAGATGGGGACTTCAGGAGTATGAGCAGATGTGTGGATACATTTAATCAGGACACTTCCAGTTGCAAGTGACAGAAACCTCATTCAAATTACTCCATAAGGGGGTGCATTGGGTGGCCAAGGGTAATAAGAAGTAGAACTATAAGCACAACAGTTTCTAGAGGCTGAGCCTGGAGCTTCTTTTGCTTTTCATACATTCCCCCTTTTGTCTTTACTTGGCTTTACCCTCTCTTAGTCCATATTGGTTTTCTCCAGCAATTTGAAGTTTACTTCAGGTCTCACAATTAGACTCCAGCTAGAAAATTACCAGAGACGTTTAATTGGATCATGAGGTAGAATATGAACCAACGTCGAGGGGTTCCCAAGACTGTGCTCTTAGCTACCTTGCTCTGTGGCCTCACAGAGGGAGTCAGAATAGAGCAAGTAAGGGGAAGGGTGATCATGCCATGAGAATGGAATCAGGTCCCCTACTGATCGTCCCTTACCTCAAGTTCCCTTGGGAAGCATCTAGCTGAGCCCAACTCCATTTGCAGCAGAGCTGAAATGTGCCTTGCTCCTGGGGCCATTTTTTTCTGTTTTGGAAATGCTGGGGTTTGAACTCAGGACCTCACACTTGTTAGGCAGGCACTCTACCACTTGAGGTACATCCCAAGAACATTTTTTTGCTTTAGTTATTTTTCTTTTATTGTTTTTACATTTACTTACATATGTATACATTGTTTGGGCCACCTCCCCCCTTCTCCTGCCCTACCTCCACCCCCACTTTAATTATTTTTCAAAGATAGTATCTCCTGCTTTTTTGGCCCCAGGCCAGCCTAAGACCCAAATCCTACCAATCTCTGCCTCCAGAGTAGCTGAGATTGTAGGCATGCCACCCCACCCAACCCATCCTGGGGCCATTTTTACCTGAGCTGGATCTGAGGAGGTACCAAGGCCATGCCTCCAACACATATGTATGTGTCCTACACATATGTGCTTATGCAATAGCATATATGTACCTAGATTTCACCAACAGAGGCTGATATACCATGAAGCCAACAGAGTTGAGACTTCAGGTCTCCTTTCTTGCATGAGCCCCACCAAAGGCCTTGGGAGAAGCCCTAGAACTCTATTCACATGGTCTAGTTTCTTTTTGAATTTGCCAAAGTCAATTACTTTAAGCAATCAGTTATGATCATAGTATCTTTCTATTCTGGCTTTCTCTTGTATTGGGCAGCATTTATGGGCATGTTGATGTCCAACCCAAAGGAATAAATTTCATTTGGGTTGAGTGGAATATATTTTAAATAAATGGAACATTAAACAGAAGCAATAATGTTGAACAAGGATATAAATTAAGATGATTCTATCATTGAGGAGACAATTGTATCTTAAAAATATATTTAGATCATGCCAAAAAGTAGTTTATTAAAAGAAGGGGATAAAAGGAATTCAAAAAGAAAAGGAGAAGTCAAACTATCCCTAATTGCAGATGACATAATCTTATACTAAAAGACCCAGAAAACTCCACCAAAAAACTCCTAGACATCAAAAACACCTTCATCAAAGTGGCAGGATACAAAGCCTGGCACCAGTAGTTCATGCCTGTAACCCTAGATACTCAGGAGGCAGAAATCAGGAGGATCACAGTTCAAAACCAGCCCGGGCAAATAGTTTGCAAGACCCTATCTTAAAAAAACCCTTCACGAAAATAGGGCTGGTGGAGTGGCTCAAGGTGAAGGCCCTGAGTTCAAGCCCCAGTACCACACGCACACACACACAAATAGCAGGATATAAAATCAATTTACAAAAATCAGTAGCCTTTCTATACACCAACAAACTTGAGAAAGAATATAGGAAAATAACTCCACTTAAAATAGCCTCAAAAACAAATACCTGGGAATAAACTTAACAAAGGAAGTGAAAGACTTTTATAATGAAAACTACAAACCATTGAAGAAAAAAATTGAAGACTACAGAATATGGAAAAATCTCCCATGCTCATGGATTGGCAGAATCAATATTGTGAAAACAGCTATATTACCAAAAGCAATCTACATGTTCATTGCAATCCCCAGCTAAATTTCAATGACATTCATCACAGAGATTGAAAAATCAACCCTAAAGGTCATATGTAAGCACAAAAGACTGTGAATAGCAAAGGCAATACTAAGCAAAAAGAGCAACGCTGGAAGTATCACAATACCTGACTTCAAACTATACTAAAGAGCCATAGCAATAAAAACAGCATGGTACTGGCACAAAAACATACATGAAGATCAATGGAATAGACCAGAAGACCTAGATATGAATCCACATGACTGTGCCCCCTGATTTTTGACAAGGTGCCCAAAACATACAATGGAGAAAAGACAACCTCTTCAACAAATGTTGCTGGGAAAAGTGGATATCTGCATATAGAAAACTGAAGCTAGATCTATGTCTCTCACCCTGTATAAATATCAACTCAAAGTACATTCAGGACCTTACTATAAGGCCTGAAACTTTGAAACAATTATAGGAAGTTTCAGGAAATGCACTGGAACATATAAACAGTAACTTTCTAAATAAAACTCCAATGGTTCAGCAAATAAGAGAAAGGATGAGGAACTGGGACTGCATCAAACTAAAAAGCTTCTGCACAGCAAAAGAAACAGTCACTAGACTCAAGAGACTGTCCACAGAATGGGAGAAAATCTTTACCAGCTATTTATCCAATAAGGGACTAACATCAAGAATCCTTAGGGAGCTCAAAAACCCAACCCCCCAAAATCAACAACCCAATGAAGAAATGGACACATGAATTGAATAGGGAATTTTGAAAAGAAGAGGTACAAATGGCCAATAAATACATGAAAAAGTGTTCAACTTCCTTGGCTATAAAAGAAATCAAAACTACACTAAGATTTCATCTCACCCAAGTTAGAATGGCTATCATCAAGAACACAAACAACAACAAATGTTAGCAAGAATGCAGCAAAACAGGAACCCTTATACACTTTGGTGGGAGATTCCTTTAAAACCAAAAATAGAACTGCCATATGATCCAATGATAACACTCCTGGGCATATTCCAGAAGGAATACAATAGTCAGGATACAATAGAGACACTTGCACACCAATGTTTATTGCAAGACTGTTCACAATAGCCAAGTTATAGAAGCAACCCAGATGCCATACAAGTGATGAATGGATCAATAAAATGTGATGCATATATATAGAATGAAGTTTTATTCAGCCATAAGGAAGAATGCATCTATGTGGTTTGAAGGTAAATGGAATTGGAGGACATAATGTTAAGTGAAATGAGCCAGGTTCAGAAAGACAAAGGCGGCATGTTTTCTCTCATGTGTGGAAGACAGAGCCAAAGATAAACATATACACAAAACAAGCATGATTATACATATATTTATATGTAGAACACATTGTAATAGTGGAACTTCTCTATGGCACTCAGGGGAGGAGAGAAAGGAAAGTAGAAGACATAATGATATACATGGAAAGCTGTTGAATAATGGGGGTGGAAGGGAAGGGGGTAAGGGAAAGTAACAGAGGAGGTTGAATTGACCAAAGTTAAGTATATTAATAGCTGGGATACATTGAGAAACCCCATTGAACATTGATTTTGGAATCAAAAATAAAAGACAGGACTGTAAAATAAGTATAATGTGTGTGGAAGGGAATGGGGAGTGGTGAAGAGGAGCTGAAGATGGGTAAGATGGTTGATGGGCTTCATATACATACATGAAATAGAATGAGGAAATCTCTTGCAATTACATTAAGTGGGGCAAGGAGAAGGCTACAAAGGAGAGATGGTGAGGGCAACGTAGCCAATGTGCAATGTAAGCCTGTTAGAAATTGGAACAATGAATCCCCTCTGTACAATGTATATATGCTAATAAAAATGAAAAAATGGGATAACTTTTTAATAGAATCATGCCAGAGACTCTTGCAGTGTTTGATAATTCAATCAATGAAGAACAGTGAATTATATGAACACATTGGAAAAGTATTTAAATTTTTTGCTGATCTGACACAAAACACTAACATCAACAAAGATAGCATAAAATTCCTAATATGCCACTAAAACGAGACCTCAACATCAGCACAATTTTTAATGAAGTTTGTCAGTTAAAAACCATTTAAGATTTATCATCACACAAGAATATCCAAAATGCCTTGAACTCTGACAGCCCACAGAGGAAAGAAACTTGATTGAGGCTTCCCCAAATGTGACACCAATCCTAAAAATGTACATGACATTTTCAACAAAGTTATGAGCCTGAGAGAAGCTTCCCAAAATTATCAATGGTACAAAACAAGTTTTTATCAACCATGGTAAAGGAAAGACTGAATGATCTCTCTGTTCTCTGCATAGAAATTGATATTATAAAACCATTGTCACATGAAAAAGCAAAGAATGTGCAGCCTGGTGCTGGTGAAAAAGAGTAGACAAAACTGAAAAAGGCAAGATGGAGCAAGAGGAGGAAGGCAGAAAGACAAGAAGAGAAGAAACACAAAAACAAAGATGATGACATGATAACGATGAACAAGTTGATTGTAGTTCAGTTTTCTCATCTTTAAAACATTTAAACTACCTGCACAAAAGTCACTACTATTTAAAAATTAGATTTGAGACTGTGTAATATTTGTTTTTTAACATTGTTTTAGATAACATTTGACAATGGGTTTTAATTCACATGGAACTCTCCCAGGAACAGAGGGAAGTAGTAAGTTCAAAATATGTCAGTAAGTCCATGATTGTCTGGGATGGAGGCCTAACTGTGCCATTAACCAGCTCTGGACATTGGGAAGGTGACTTAACCTGTTTGGACTTCAGTTTTCTCTGTGAAACAAATTAGTTATTTAAAAGGTGTACCCCAGTTCTGAAATTCTTTAGTAATTCATTCAAAGCATTTCAATAAAAGATAAAGAAGTAGAACTTTTTCACATAAGGGATATGAGACCATACAAACATTTTTCTCAGCTTAGATAAATTATTTATATCCTCTTGGTTAGCTGACCCTTCTCTATTTTTCCCCAATTTATTATTAAAATGTAACTCACATAAAACTCACCCCTTTAAAGTGTATATTTCAGTGATCTGTACCATATCCACAAAGTTGTACAGCCATCACTACCAATTCCAGAACATTTTCATCACCCTCAATAGAAGCTCATACCCATTAACTCACTACCTATTCCTTCTTCCTCATTATCCTGGTCACCACGGATTTACTTTTTGTCTCTCTGGATTTACCTATTTTGGACAATTTCTATGACTAGAATCACACAGTATGTAGCCTTTTGTGTATGGCTTCTTCCTCTTAGCACGTTTTCATGGTATGTCTGTGCTGTGGTATGTGTCAGTACATCACTCCTTTCTAAGGATGAATAAATTCCATTGTATAGGTTTATCACATTTTATTTATCTATACATCAGCTGATGTACACTTGGGTTGTTTCCACTTAGGCATTATGAATAATGATGCTATAAACACTCATGTATAAGTTTTTGTATAAATGTATATTTTTAATTCATCTGGGTACATACCTAAAATTGAAATAGCTGGGTATATCATAATTTTACATATTTGATGGATTGCCAATCTTTTCCCAAAGAAGCCTCACCATTACATTCTATCAGAATTCTCATTTCT